GCCCCTTCTCTCCTGGCCCTGCACAGGGCACCTAGATGCCGCTGAGAGCCAAGCCTTGCAAAGCATGGGAAGCCCCTACAAAAATAATAAATGATTAAAAATAAAAAGAGACGTGTCCCTAACTCCCTCCAGCAAGCGAGTGCAAGAGAGACTTTGGCCCGCGGCTGCTACAGCTTCCCTGAGGGCCCAATGTTCTTTCTATTTTCTGCCGATCTGGGCGGCATTTCCTAAATATAGCGTCTTCTCTTCATGGCGCGGCCCTGGGTAGGCCATCAGGGTTTGCCTGCGCTGCGTCCTCTGTGCAGGGGACTCTCACAGGTGAACAGGAAGAGAATGGGGCTGGAGGAGGCCAGGAAAGACGGTGGAATGTGCAGGCCTACAGACCAACCCACTGTACCTTTATAGCTAGGAAAATGGGTTCAAAACTGAAAGCTTCTGAAAGACCGTGGGTTACACAGAAAGTAAGAGAGAACGTAACAGGAGGGGAGGTGACTGCAAGCCGCCCTTCCCTCCTCCTAAGAAGCCCCGGAACAGGCTGCTGGTCACACAACCTCAGACCCCAGTCCCATCACTTCCCACCAGGGTGGGGCTGGAGGCCTGGCCTCACCAGAGTGGCTGCGAGAGGTCTCAGGAGCAATAAGGTGGGAGTCGGCTGCCATCCCATGGCCCCCTGGGAAAGCTGAGTGGTGGGTCCTCACTCAGCCGCCAGACAGTAACACAGTCCAAGCTTCCCAGCAGTGGGGTACAGGTAAGGGAGGTGGCGTGACTGCACTTCTGATTCCCACCCCCCACAACGCCTGTCCTATCTGGATAACAGTACCCCAGCCCAGTGTCAGTCCCTAGACCCCTGGGGTTCACTCCATTCCCTCCTTTGAGGCCGTTGGCCGTCCCTACTTGCTCTCCCGAAATGCCCCAGTCCCCCAAAGTGCTCCGCGAAAAAGCTGAGCGGGAACAAGGCTGAATTTAATTTGCTTTGAATTTGCTAATTGAGGGGGAGGACGGTTCATTTCTCCCCGGCGCTGGCCCAAGGCGCGCGTCGGTGCGCTCGGGGCTTGACACGCACACAAAGACTCCAGGCAGCGTGGGCAGCGAGGCGGACAAAGACCACCGCCGCCTCGGCTGTCCAGGAGAAATCAGCCGGGCCGCGCCTGGGGCCGGGCTCCGCACAAACCCGCCAGGCCCTCCTCGGTTTTAGGGTGGGGAACGCGTTTTAAAACAAAAGCCTTGACCTTTCTGAGCTGCCCAGAAAAGTGTTACAACTTAATCTGCCCGAAAACGTTACTGTTTACTGGGAACTTTGACCCCGCCCTGCGGCTCCGTGTACAGTAGCGCCTACTGTAGTCCTAAGCCCCCTCCCCACCCTGGGCTAAACCCAAGCCAGGCCCGCCCTGGGACCCTGCTGTGCAGAAGGCCTGTGCCCTGAGGCAGACCCTCTCTGCAGCCTCCCAGCTGTATTTTTCTGATGTAGGGTACACACCGGATGCTTGGCCTCCACCTTCTGATCTCCCATCTTCAGGGAAGTCTCTCGAGCCGACCGTGTGAGCCACGGGCTAGCAGTCGCTCAGAACTTGTCTTTAACCCACATCTGGTCCTTACCAGCCTCCAGCCCCAAACACCCAGAAACCCCACTGTGCTCTCCAGCTTCCTGGACCCCAGCAGGGTCGTCACACTGTCGCCAAAAGTCTCACCAGAAGTGCGGGGATGTCTTAGCCAGGACATGCCCACTGGACAGAGAAACAACTCGGCGCCTTTCCCCAGAACCTAGGGCAGGTTGGCACTTACAGCCCCTTTCTGGAGCCCAACAAAGCCAAGCACTCTGAGACACAAATCCCGAGCCCAGGCGTGGAACCAGCTACCAGGACCTGTGCGGAAGGCCCTCACAGAGCTCCGTGCTCTTGACGGGCTTGGGAGCCAGATTCTGGGTGGGGGCGCACGCCTACATGGGTTCCTTGCCCCCGGGGCGCACTCACCTGAGTTTCGGTGAGGCTGAGACTGTGTGCCAGCTGCTTCCTTTCGGCGCCTACCACGTAGTGATTCTTCTCAAAGGCGTGTTCCAGCCTTAGAAGCTGGGACGGGGAGAAGGCGGTTCGGATCCGCTTGGGCTTTCGGGCCAGCGCGTTGTGCAAAAGGAAACTCTCGGGGCTAGTGTCGTTCCCTGCGGAGGCACAGCAGAAGTCCCATTAGCGAGGCCGCTCCTACCGCAGCCACGCACTTCTCCCGAGCCGGACTGGCGCAGCACCGCGCTCAGGGCCTTCTCAGAGCCCGCGCCGCTCGACCTGCTGGGGCCAATGGTCCTCCCGAGGGTGCCCGAAGGGGACGTCGGCCCAGCTGTCCGGCCCGGAACGCCGGGGCTCCACCTGTGCGGCACCCAGCCAACAGCTGCCCCGGCGGGGCCAGTCCCCAGGCTCCTGACCTCGGCGGGCTCCCCAGCCGCGCTGGCGCCGCGGGCCTCGCCACCCCCTTGCTAGGCGCTAGGGGCAGGGGAGGGAGCCGCAGAGCCTGGCCGGGCGATTGGCGCCCACAGCCCAAAGAAACGACTTTCTCTGCTTTCTAACCTCTCGGGGAACTTTGACCCAGGGTGGAAAGGCGGCGGGCTGCTCTCCACAGTTTTCTCAGAGATTTATTTTTAAATTATTTGTTTTGTTGCCCCTCCGGAAAAGTACAGAGGCCGGGAAAGTCATTGCGGCCAGGTCGGGGCAGAAATCTCGCCGGCGAGTGTGCGGGGCCACAGCCCCTGCTGCCTCTGGAGAACTCGGCTCCCGGGCTCCCGGCTCCGGAGAACTAGAAGAGAAACGCGAGCAAATGGATCGAAACCCGGGGGGTTACCGAGTTGCAGACACCGCGGTGACAGTCTGAAACGCAGGAAGATCCCAGCGGCTCCGGGTCTGGGGGGGGGACCCTAGGCATGACTGACAGAAAATGAGGAAGGGTAGCCCTAAACTTTTCGAGCAAAGCCTCAGAGTTTTGGGTTTACTCATTAGGATAGGAAATCGATTCTCCAAAAACTCAAACAAAGAAAAACAAGCCGACAGTACAGGCGGGATGCAGGCAAACCCAGTTCGGGATTAAAGGTGAAAAGTTTTTTGGGGTTTTGTTTTTTTCTTTCTTTGGTTTGGTTTTTAAAATATGGGGAGGGAGATGACGTCTACCCGACTCTAGGCTCTGGCAGGAACGCAATGGGTTAATGAATGGACAAGCCGTGGAGTATTGATCCGCTGCCGCTGGAGGCAGGTCTTTTGCCGACTCCGATCAGTAAACTAATTAGTCATCCCCTTTTCTGAAGTTTTAACTCTCCTCCTCCCACCCCGTACGCAGAGAAAAACAAATCAAAAATATCGCAGGAAATGAAAACATCCGAATAGATCTTTCCCTCCGACAGTTTCCTGACCAAGTTCTTTTTTTTTTTTTTTTTTTAAAAAAACAAAAACCAGACCGAACCTGCCTTCCCGCTGCGACTGCTCGGTGCCCCAATTAAGCAGGTCGCGGCGAGATCGCCGAGCCCTGGAGCTTTCCACCCGCACAGGTTCCCGCCCCTCCCCAGGCCTCCGAAAAGCAGGAAAGAAAAAAAACAATCTCATACTTTTCTCCGGGGGCGCGAGGGTCCTCTCGCCTCCAGAAGAGGGTGAAAGACCAAGAAGTCGCGGGTCTGGGCTGAAGGGGCGCAAAGAGGGTGGAGAACAGGGTCGAACGCAGTCGAAAGCAAGCCTATCGTCCGGGCCCTGTCCGCGTCCCTGGGAGCCAGGACGGTTGGGAACATTTCCGAGGGTACCAGGAGCCTGGGGCCCCGGCGGGCTTTGTGCTCCGCGGCGCCGGGTACGCTCAGCCCAGCCTGCTCGGATCCCAGAGCACTGGGGTACAACTCCGTCGCACCCCTTCCCAAAGGGTCAGGCGGCCCGCAGGCCATCTCTCCAAACCGCTCATAGATTCGGAGACTGGGGATCGATACCACGCCCGGCCCCGCGCCGCCTAGTTTCCCAACCCGGCTCTGTAGGAACCTCCGCCCAGGCCTTGCCAAGCGCCCACCAGGAGCAGGCCGGGGGCAGGGAAGGGTGCGGCGGGAGCCGCGCGCTGCAGTCCCGCGACGTGGCACGTACCTTGGAAGCGATGACCCAGATATCGATAGCGGTGGATGAGCCAGGGGTAGAAGGTGGACGGGTCCCGCTGCTGCGAGGCGAAGAGGGGGTGTGGCGAGTGCGAGGAGGGTAGGGGGTGGGCGGCCAGGGCGTGCGGCGGCGGCACGGGGTGCACTGGCACGGCGGGGTTGGGCGGGTGCGACACCGCCTCGGCGAACACCAAGTCCGGGTTGGAGTAGACGCCCCTACCGGCGGCGGCGGCTGCGGCCGAGTGGAAGCCGTTGAGGAACGGATTTATGGGGCTGGAGTTCGCGTAGCTGAGTGCCGCGGGACGGATGGGGTCCTCGGAGCGCGAGGCGGGCAGGGGACTGTCCTTGGCCACCAGCGACTCGATGGTGAAGCAGCGCTTGGGCGCCGGTTGGAACATGCTGCGCCGAGGAGCGGGCGCCCTGGGCTCCCAGCTCCCGGCGACCGCCGCACGCTGCCTCCGCCGCCCGCTGCCCGCGGCGAGGACGGACGAGAATTGGGGACTCGTTTGTTTGGGGTGGGGGTGGGGGTGGGGATGGGGGGAGGAAAGGAAGAAAGAAAGGAAAGGAAAGGAAAGGAAAAAGGAAAGGAGGGGGGAGGGAGAGGGAGAGGCGAAGCCGAGGATCCCGAGAATCTTGCACCAAACGCGCCCAAGCTGGAGAGAGGGGGAAAATCCTTCCAGAAGAATTTGCAGGCGTGGATTGGGGTAATTTTTTTCTTTTTTTTTTTT